GTGACTATAGTGTCCCTTTAAGGGGTTAAAGTATAATTTCTTACTTTGTTTTTAATGCAGAAACAATTGGGACTCTTACCGTGATCCCATAATCTCTCTCCAATCCAATTTCTTAATGTATGGATATACACATGACATTAATATATATATATATATATATATATATATTATGTCTCACCTGATTGAAACATATACTGATTAGATGGAACGGTGCTTCTAATATTTCTTGTTCTGTTGCAACATTACTCATAAGATATTATAGTAGATACCTGCAGAGTTTCCTTTCTAGAAATTATTTTTGATCACTCTATGGCTACCCCAGTTCTAAACCGTAAGATGTGTTGATTTGAAAATGCATTACAATTTAGTCTAGCCAAATTGATAAATATATCCAGCTTAGTCTAATTAGACATTATGGTTTTCTAAAGTGGCTCTTTGGACAGATTTTTTTTCAAGTTCAAATACTCTTCAGTAGATTGTATAAGGATTAGACTTGTGCACTTCAAAAAATTGGTTCGTCCAAAACAATTAATCAAATTTTTTTTTTTTGTGAAGTCAATTTCCTTCATATGCCGTTTCAAGTCATCCAAATGACTTTGTCCATATAAAATAATTTGAAAGAGAAATGTAATAAATAAATATATAAGTAATAATAATATGACCATCATATTAGTGTAAGGGAGGTTTACTACTATCCTTATGCTCCCAGATGACATGCCATGGGTTGAGGCATGTATTCTAAACAGTAAGCAGTCAGTGGCTCTATTGAACAAAATAATCAGGAGGATATGCTAGTGTCTCCATTCATGTATGGGATGTCATGAAGATGTAACATTGAACAGTTATTATATTGTTTGCTCTGTTGTAATACTAAAATATCAGAGTGGCTACCTGCAGAGTTCCATTCATAGGCATGACCTGCTTTCCTGACTTTGAGTCGTCAACTGTCCATTTTTAGGGAAAACAAACTCTAGAAAACTGGTAATATGAATTTAATAACCTTTATACTCCTTTATATTTTCTACAACATTATAGCAAACACAAAGCATCCTGCCCATAACTTGCATACAGGGGACATGCCTACAACAGCAATGCATGGTACTCTGAATCCCTTACCTTGGAGATTAAAATGATTTAGCCTGCTTTTTTTTCAATTTCCTTGTTTATTACTATATTTGTTTTTATTATTTGAGAAAGTTTGTTCTGTTTGAACTTTATACTTTTCTGCACAATAAATATTCCCATGTGGAAGTCCACAATAAATTGGATTAATGACGTAATCTTCCCAATCTTTCTGTGCCAAGTCATATGGAACTTTTATAAATGGAAAAGTACTCCCATAGCAATGCGATAAAATCAACAATTTCCTCTTTATTTCTTTCTTCCCTTCTTTTCTTCTATTTCTTACATAGGTCACTGTTTAAGCATATATTGTGCTATTTTTCACAATTAAGCGTTTAAAGATTTATTCAACTGTAAACCTCCTCTTTAAAGAAAATAGTAATATTTAAATACAATATTTACCACAACTTGCCATAAATCCTACCTATTCAAAATTGCATTTTTTAAAGCAATTGGATATTTTTTTTTTTAATAGAATCACCACTTTTTATTAGGTGTATGTATTAATATCCCTATTATCTGTGAATTGAAGGGAGGGAGAACATTTATTACTGTTTAATTTAAGTGTAAGTACCAGAACAAGCATCTTGATAAGACCAAATGAAAGTGCGTATCAGGCTACAGTTGTTCCAATAGGAAATAATTTGCTTCTAGATTAATGAACTTCTTTCATTATTCCTTTGTGCATTGATATGCAATCTACACTTCAAGCTAGGAGCATTAATGTATTTATTACTATGTGTGTTAACATCTTCACTAAATCAATTAATCACCAAAGCATATACACATTGCAAGGCAAGATAAATGCGATACACATGACATTTTCATTAGCAGTCATATGTAAAAGAAATTGACAGAAACACACATATAGTGATATTACTTCTTTATTGTGTATAAAAAAGAGGTTTAATTTCATTATTTGACATTTATTATTAAACCCTACACAAAACCATGCATTGTGGTGATTTAACATTGATTAGATGCTGGTAGTCAAGTGGCACTCAGAGATTTCATTCTCTTATATTATGGAAATGTGACCTACAAATATATGTTAACAAGGTATTTTCAAATTAGAAATCCAATAAACAAGCGACAAAGTGGCGCTATTTAACAATAGCGATAAGCTTAATAAATACAGCAGCACTTATACGTGTACTTAGCTCAAAAACACAAAAAGTCACAATCAAAACAAAAAAATTAAGTGCGCTAAAATTTAAAGTGCAAGTATTACTCACTGCTTCAATTCAGTCAAAAACAAGTGCAAAATGCTTTTAACTCTTAAAAAGTGCAATGTGCAAGTTTTACTCACTGCATCAATTCAGTGAAAAACAAGTGCAAAATGCTTTTAACTCTTATAGAGTGCAATGTGCATCTACATAATCAAGGAAAGTGCAAATTGCAAAATGCAAAAAAAAAAACACTTTAAAAGTGATCATGTGCATAAATAATGTAATGTAAATTTACTTATTTTCAGATAGCAAATATTTTCTTCAAAGCCTTTTCAAAGGCTCTCATATTATTTTAAATAAACATAGGGCTATGACCATGGGTGAAGGCAAAGGGTTTAAATCCCTAATCCAATGCCAATGGATGGGAGCATGGGCAACTGGGAAGCAATCGTTGCTAATTTCTAATTAGAGTGAGCAGATCAATGTTTGCTTATTGTCAAGATTTGAAGGCAACTTTGCATGCAGAGCTTAAACCTATACATAATCGTATATAGAAGAATAACTGGATGGTTGCTTATCACAAGTCCTTAGAGTAGCTGGGCTTAAAGCGGCACTGTCATGCCGAATTTACCTTTCCCTAAACGATTCCTCTTGTCTCCCTCTCTCAGGATCTGTTCTTTTTTTCCTACCTGATCTAGTTTTCTTTAAAACATAAGACAAAGTAGGGGCTACTTTGTCTTATGTATTTTTACTACGCTTGACCCGCTCTGACCCACTTCCTGTGGGTCAAAGAAATTTTCCCACAATATTTACCCATTCCTCCGTAATTTTGCGATGCCTGCTTTCAGTATTCTCGAACGTCCTGTCATATAGACAAGATGCCGGTGAAACTACTGAATTTCATCCTAACAGAATGAGAACAGTTTGTCCATTCGTGTTAGGATGACCTTCAGTATTTTTACAAAAAATTACAACGTGTGCTGGCACTCAATTACATATAGGTGCCGGTATTCGAGGTTAACCCCAAAGACAACCTCCAAACAACAATCCTAAAAACTATATAATGAATACCGCACTCAAATAGTAATAATTGATACTAGAAGTTATTGCTGTGAAAAATTCATGATATTTATTCTAAATAAAGTTATATGAAGTATGATAATAGAAATGTTCATTTCATCCTGAGTACACCAATTATATACATTGAATATATACAATATATACAGTATATACAGAATATTCCATATATTGGATAGAGTTCATCTAATGTGTATACACTTGGTGAAAATTCATTGAAAAGTTTGTTGAAAATACTGAAAAAATGAAAAAAATGAAAAATATGAAAAAATGAAACCGATAGGAAAATGAAAAAAATATAAATAAAAAATAATGAAAATAATGAAAAAATCCCCAATCCAAACCAGAAAAAAGGAAAGGGGAAATAAAAAGAAAAAGAAGATAAGGAATGAAAAGAAAAAATATATAGAAAAATAAGCAAAATAATCTGAAAGTCCTGGTAGTCCAATATAGTGCACTATATTTAGCTGTATCTGGATAGATCTCACCAATTGTAGAAATCTTGTTCTTGGTGTACCAAATCAAAGTTGTAATCAGATGATGATCTAAACGAAGGTGAAGGTAATAGTAGTTGTAGCAAACGGAAAGTCACTCCATCAGCTCCCAGTTGTTGTGTGGTCAGAAGCAGCTCCCAGTGGGTATGTGGTCTGAACGAACGGCAATGAACTAATGCAGGCAATCCAGTCTAGGGACGGGCTGCGCGCTCGGGACTTAACTGTCCCTTCGACGGCCCCTGTGTTCTGTCAAGCAAGGTAGAAAATTGTTTAAATACCTGTATTTGGCGGCAAAACATAGCCGCATCCACTCCATAGTATTCGCCCACTTCCGCATTATGACGTCAGCAAACGTTGCTGCGTCATGCGTTCTCTATATAACTTTATTGATCACTTAACATAGTGTGACAAACAAACTCAGTAAAGATACATAATAGAAAAATTGTTCACCAAATAGTATAATACATATAATAGAAGGGAAAACAATGAAGTGAATGTCTATTTATACAAACGGTTGTGGTTACAGATGAACTGCCATAAGCTTCATATAGTACACATTGAAAATTATTAATTTTAATTATTAAACAAACCCAAAATGAAAAATAATAAATGTCTAACATTTATGTTAAAGCTCACCTGTTAATGCTGATCAAGGAGAAAGATTGTAAGAAAAAATCGATATGAACCAGTTGGACAACCAGCTGGATAAATAAAAAAGAAAAAAAGGAGAAAACAGAAAAAGACACAACATTTGTCATTATTCCAGATAATAAAAAAATGCATGAAACTAGAAAAGTTATGAAATACTACTAAAAAGAGGAGAGATCCATATGTGCAACTCACCTGCCACGCAATACCCCATAGTGCCCGAGGGCCATGTACGTGAGGGACCCTGTGTCACTAGCAGGTAGCGGACCCCAAGCTGAGTCAAAATGTCGGCAGGAAAGAACTACGGACCAACATTGGTCAAGAGGAACCACTGTAAGGAGCACAAAATCATAGAGCAGACAATCATAAATATATACTTATAAAAAATGTTTAAGGTCATAGTCCTCATTGAGTCCTAGTGGTGACAAAGTCTCCAGAGTACTTATCCATTTCGTCTCTCTCTGAAGTAAGAGTTTCTGTCTGTCTCCACCCCTGCGTAGTGGTGGGATTCTGTCTATGACTTGAAACCTCAATTGGTTTACATTATGGCCATGCAACTTAAAGTGCCTTGGTACTGGAGCTTCCACTTTATTATGTTGAAATGCTGCCCTAATGCTCCTTTTGTGTTCCCCTATCCGTTCTTTCACTGGCCGGATGGTCTCCCCCACGTATAAAAGCCCACAGGGACACTTCAGGGCATACACGACAAAGTCCGAGTTGCACGTATAAAAATCCTTAACGAAAATTTTTTTTCCTGACCGAGGGTGAACAAAATATTCCCCCTTGATCACGCTATTACAGTGTGAGCAATTTAGACATGGAAAAGTACCCTTCTTGGGTTCTGAAAAGAATCTGGTTTGTTTTTTAAAACTGCCAATGTCTGACCTCACTACAACATCTCTCAGGTTCGAAGCTCTCTGATATGAAAAAAGCGGAGGATGCTGGAATATCGAAGGTAATTGGGCATCTCCCTGAAATAATTGCCAATGTTTCAATATGACTCGTCTTATATCCCTATTAAGTGGAGTATAAGGTGTCACTAATGTAAGCCTTTCTATTTTGTTTTTTGCTCCTATACCTGAGAGAGTTTCCTGACGGGACAGGGTTTCAACTTTCTGTCGCTGATTATCTACTATATGTGTGGGATAGCCCCTCTCTAAAAATTTTTTAGCCATAAAGTCTAAACCTGTCATCACTTTGTCTTCCTGTGATACTATCCTCTTTACTCTTAACAGTTGGCTAAACGGTAAACCATTCTTGAGGTGAGTTGGGTGGAAACTAGCATACGTCAATAAGTTATTTCGGTCAGTAGGTTTTATATATAAGTCACTATGAAGACAATTCTGTACTCTCTGTACTTGTACATCTAGAGAAGGAACCGTAATCATGTCACAATACATAGTGAATTTAATATTGACATCTTGTGTATTTAATGACTCAAAAAAGTCCTGCAATTGGGCCCTTGTGCCGCTCCAACAGACAAACACATCATCAATATATCTTTTCCAAACTAAGCATTTGACGAATAAAGGATGCTGATAAATACAAGTTTCTTCCATTCGATTCATATAAATGTTTGCATATGTTGGAGCGACATTCGAGCCCATGGCTGTACCTTTGATTTGTTTGTAGTATCTGTCCCCAAATAGGAAATAATTTTCTGTTAGGATGAAAGTCAGTAATTCCCTAATGTATGTTCTAGTATCCCTTTGCTGGGTTAATCTAGGATCTTTATCCAGTGTCCACTCAACTGCCTCAATCCCTCTCTCGTGATCAATAGAAGTATATAAAGACTGAACGTCCATGGTCACCAGCCAAAAGTCACCTGGTGGAACCTGTATGTCTGCTAATAGTGTGAGGAATGTAGTAGTGTCCTTAAGGTAGGATTTCTGTAGCGAAACATATTTAATCAGAAATTTATCGAGTATCTCTGCCGGATGTTGAAATATAGACCCAGTTCCACTGACTATTGGTCTACCTGGAGGAAAGAGGGGATTCTTATGAATCTTTGGAAGTGTATAGAACACTGGGATTCTAGGGTATTTAAGATTCATATATTTATATTCCCCATCAGAGATGATCCCTTTGGAAAGGGCCCATTTATTAAGCCTATCTAGTGTATGTTTCAAAGTATGGGTAGGATCCTGACCTATAGGCAAGTAATTGGTATTATCTGTAAGTTGAGTCTCAATTTCCTTTATGTAATATGTGCGATCCATGATCACCAATGCTCCCCCCTTGTCTGCCGGTTTAATAATGATAGAAGTATCTCTCTTTAAATTATTGATGTTAAGCCAGTCTTGTTTAGTAAAATTAACATTATGTCTTTGACAGCTATGTGTACCCTGATGTTTCTTCCTGAGCTTATATACATCTTTCTTCACAAGATTAGTAAATAAATCTATCGATGCATTGACATTATGTGGTGTGAAGGTACTTTTAGGTTTCAAACCTGTATCTAAGGGAAGGACCGCATATAGGTCGGTGCCATTATGCCCCATATCTTCCACATCTCCTTCCTCACGTAGGGGTTCCTGTATAATCTGAGTATTACTGTCAATAGATCCTGATGTCATACCGTCATTGTGTTGATCTGTTGAAAAAAATGCACGTAATTTAAGTTGGCGAAAAAACTTATATAAACTGACATCATATTGATGCCACTCTACATGAGGTGTGGGAATAAAGGAGAGTCCCTTATTTAGGGTCCCCTCCTCCGTAGGGGTTAGGGGCCTACCTGAAATGTTATGTATCAGAGATTGCGTCTCGATTGGGGCGGACGGCCTTGTTTTCTCTCCCGTGTGCCTCTTGTGATGACCCCCCCTCCTGATGTTTCTTCGTGTCGTGTGCCTCTCTCTAAAAAAGTCATTCCTGAGGATGAGGAGGCTGAGGAGGAGGATGTAATACCCTCTGTATCCGAGCGCCATCTCTGTACGTTTGTATCTCTGTTTGGTCTGTATGAGCGGTTGTCTGTTCTGGTATACCAGGTATATACTTGATCCCTCTGATAATCCAATTCGTCCCTATGGAATTTTTTCTTTTTAAATTCCTCAGTTTCTCTCTGGTATTCCTTGAGTTTATCTTCTATCTGTTTTTTAAGAGTTTCTAAGTCAGTGGAGGATGTAACTGCTGCTAATTCTTGTTCAGCTGCTGCTATCTCTTTTACAAGTTTAATTAGTTCCTTCTGTAGCGATTCAATGGTTAATACCATAAGGTCTACCGAACATTTGTTTAATATCTTGTACCATACTGTACGGTGTTCAACATTATCTCTACATAGTGTAGGGTGTAACCTAACCCTCAAGCCCCTAGGAATTCTCTTTTGTCTCAGATACTCTCCTAAAGTACTTATATGTAATTCCCAACTGATTTTCTTTTTTAATTCCCTCTCAAGTTTATGGGCTATCCCTCGCTCACTGTCATTAGTTAGAAATTCCCTGGCCCCCCTGAGAGCTGATGTAATGCGACTAATATCACCCTCTGTATATGCAAAAGTTGCCATAGGCAAGGTAATATGAAAAATGAAGGATGAAGAGTTGAAATAATTCTTAGAGTCTCGTTAATAGATCACAGATAACTGTAAGTAAATAGTAGTATAAAGATCTATAAATCTATAAATACTGTAATGGTGCTCAGCACTAGGGGAAATAATATACAAAAAATTACAACGTGTGCTGGCACTCAATTACATATAGGTGCCGGTATTCGAGGTTAACCCCAAAGACAACCTCTAAACAACAATCCTAAAAACTATATAATGAATACCGCACTCAAATAGTAATAATTGATACTAGAAGTTATTGCTGTGAAAAATTCATGATATTTATTCTAAATAAAGTTATATGAAGTATGATAATAGAAATGTTCATTTCATCCTGAGTACACCAATTATATACATTGAATATATACAATATATACAGTATATACAGAATATTCCATATATTGGATAGAGTTCATCTAATGTGTATACACTTGGTGAAAATTCATTGAAAAGTTTGTTGACTGAAAAAATGAAAAAATGAAAAATATGAAAAAATGAAACCGATAGGAAAATGAAAAAAATATAAATAAAAAATAATGAAAATAATGAAAAAATCCCCAATCCAAACCAGAAAAAAGGAAAGGGGAAATAAAAAGAAAAAGAAGATAAGGAATGAAAAGAAAAAATATATAGAAAAATAAGCAAAATAATCTGAAAGTCCTGGTAGTCCAATATAGTGCACTATATTTAGCTGTATCTGGATAGATCTCACCAATTGTAGAAATCTTGTTCTTGGTGTACCAAATCAAAGTTGTAATCAGATGATGATCTAAACGAAGGTGAAGGTAATAGTAGTTGTAGCAAACGGAAAGTCACTCCATCAGCTCCCAGTTGTTGTGTGGTCAGAAGCAGCTCCCAGTGGGTATGTGGTCTGAACGAACGGCAATGAACTAATGCAGGCAATCCAGTCTAGGGACGGGCTGCGCGCTCGGGACTTAACTGTCCCTTCGACGGCCCCTGTGTTCTGTCAAGCAAGGTAGAAAATTGTTTAAATACCTGTATTTGGCGGCAAAACATAGCCGCATCCACTCCATAGTATTCGCCCACTTCCGCATTATGACGTCAGCAAACGTTGCTGCGTCATGCGTTCTCTATATAACTTTATTGATCACTTAACATAGTGTGACAAACAAACTCAGTAAAGATACATAATAGAAAAATTGTTCACCAAATAGTATAATACATATAATAGAAGGGAAAACAATGAAGTGAATGTCTATTTATACAAACGGTTGTGGTTACAGATGAACTGCCATAAGCTTCATATAGTACACATTGAAAATTATTAATTTTAATTATTAAACAAACCCAAAATGAAAAATAATAAATGTCTAACATTTATGTTAAAGCTCACCTGTTAATGCTGATCAAGGAGAAAGATTGTAAGAAAAAATTGGATATGAACCAGTTGGACAACCAGCTGGATAAATAAAAAAGAAAAAAAGGAGAAAACAGAAAAAGACACAACATTTGTCATTATTCCAGATAATAAAAAAATGCATGAAACTAGAAAAGTTATGAAATACTACTAAAAAGAGGAGAGATCCATATGTGCAACTCACCTGCCACGCAATACCCCATAGTGCCCGAGGGCCATGTACGTGAGGGACCCCGTGTCACTAGCAGGTAGCGGACCCCAAGCTGAGTCAAAATGTCGGCAGGAAAGAACTACGGACCAACATTGGTCAAGAGGAACCACTGTAAGGAGCACAAAATCATAGAGCAGACAATCATAAATATATACTTATAAAAAATGTTTAAGGTCATAGTCCTCATTGAGTCCTAGTGGTGACAAAGTCTCCAGAGTACTTATCCATTTCGTCTCTCTCTGAAGTAAGAGTTTCTGTCTGTCTCCACCCCTGCGTAGTGGTGGGATTCTGTCTATGACTTGAAACCTCAATTGGTTTACATTATGGCCATGCAACTTAAAGTGCCTTGGTACTGGAGCTTCCACTTTATTATGTTGAAATGCTGCCCTAATGCTCCTTTTGTGTTCCCCTATCCGTTCTTTCACTGGCCGGATGGTCTCCCCCACGTATAAAAGCCCACAGGGACACTTCAGGGCATACACGACAAAGTCCGAGTTGCACGTATAAAAATCCTTAACGAAAATTTTTTTTCCTGACCGAGGGTGAACAAAATATTCCCCCTTGATCACGCTATTACAGTGTGAGCAATTTAGACATGGAAAAGTACCCTTCTTGGGTTCTGAAAAGAATCTGGTTTGTTTTTTAAAACTGCCAATGTCTGACCTCACTACAACATCTCTCAGGTTCGAAGCTCTCTGATATGAAAAAAGCGGAGGATGCTGGAATATCGAAGGTAATTGGGCATCTCCCTGAAATAATTGCCAATGTTTCAATATGACTCGTCTTATATCCCTATTAAGTGGAGTATAAGGTGTCACTAATGTAAGCCTTTCTATTTTGTTTTTTGCTCCTATACCTGAGAGAGTTTCCTGACGGGACAGGGTTTCAACTTTCTGTCGCTGATTATCTACTATATGTGTGGGATAGCCCCTCTCTAAAAAATTTTTAGCCATAAAGTCTAAACCTGTCATCACTTTGTCTTCCTGTGATACTATCCTCTTTACTCTTAACAGTTGGCTAAACGGTAAACCATTCTTGAGGTGAGTTGGGTGGAAACTAGCATACGTCAATAAGTTATTTCGGTCAGTAGGTTTTATATATAAGTCACTATGAAGACAATTCTGTACTCTCTGTACTTGTACATCTAGAAAAGGAACCGTAATCATGTCACAATACATAGTGAATTTAATATTGACATCTTGTGAAAAAAAAAAAACAAACCAGATTCTTTTCAGAACCCAAGAAGGGTACTTTTCCATGTCTAAATTGCTCACACTGTAATAGCGTGATCAAGGGGGAATATTTTGTTCACCCTCGGTCAGGAAAAAAAATTTTCGTTAAGGATTTTTATACGTGCAACTCGGACTTTGTCGTGTATGCCCTGAAGTGTCCCTGTGGGCTTTTATACGTGGGGGAGACCATCCGGCCAGTGAAAGAACGGATAGGGGAACACAAAAGGAGCATTAGGGCAGCATTTCAACATAATAAAGTGGAAGCTCCAGTACCAAGGCACTTTAAGTTGCATGGCCATAATGTAAACCAATTGAGGTTTCAAGTCATAGACAGAATCCCACCACTACGCAGGGGTGGAGACAGACAGAAACTCTTACTTCAGAGAGAGACGAAATGGATAAGTACTCTGGAGACTTTGTCACCACTAGGACTCAATGAGGACTATGACCTTAAACATTTTTTATAAGTATATATTTATGATTGTCTGCTCTATGATTTTGTGCTCCTTACAGTGGTTCCTCTTGACCAATGTTGGTCCGTAGTTCTTTCCTGCCGACATTTTGACTCAGCTTGGGGTCCGCTACCTGCTAGTGACACAGGGTCCCTCACGTACATGGCCCTCGGGCACTATGGGGTATTGCGTGGCAGGTGAGTTGCACATATGGATCTCTCCTCTTTTTAGTAGTATTTCATAACTTTTCTAGTTTCATGCATTTTTTTATTATCTGGAATAATGACAAATGTTGTGTCTTTTTCTGTTTTCTCCTTTTTTTCTTTTTTATTTATCCAGCTGGTTGTCCAACTGGTTCATATCCAATTTTTTCTTACAATCTTTCTCCTTGATCAGCATTAACAGGTGAGCTTTAACATAAATGTTAGACATTTATTATTTTTCATTTTGGGTTTGTTTAATAATTAAAATTAATAATTTTCAATGTGTACTATATGAAGCTTATGGCAGTTCATCTGTAACCACAACCGTTTGTATAAATAGACATTCACTTCATTGTTTTCCCTTCTATTATATGTATTATACTATTTGGTGAACAATTTTTCTATTATGTATCTTTACTGAGTTTGTTTGTCACACTATGTTAAGTGATCAATAAAGTTATATAGAGAACGCATGACGCAGCAACGTTTGCTGACGTCATAATGCGGAAGTGGGCGAATACTATGGAGTGGATGCGGCTATGTTTTGCCGCCAAATACAGGTATTTAAACAATTTTCTACCTTGCTTGACAGAACACAGGGGCCGTCGAAGGGACAGTTAAGTCCCGAGCGCGCAGCCCGTCCCTAGACTGGATTGCCTGCATTAGTTCATTGCCGTTCGTTCAGACCACATACCCACTGGGAGCTGCTTCTGACCACACAACAACTGGGAGCTGATGGAGTGACTTTCCGTTTGCTACAACTACTATTACCTTCACCTTCGTTTAGATCATCATCTGATTACAACTTTGATTTGGTACACCAAGAACAAGATTTCTACAATTGGTGAGATCTATCCAGATACAGCTAAATATAGTGCACTATATTGGACTACCAGGACTTTCAGATTATTTTGCTTATTTTTCTATATATTTTTTCTTTTCATTCCTTATCTTCTTTTTCTTTTTATTTCCCCTTTCCTTTTTTCTGGTTTGGATTGGGGATTTTTTCATTATTTTCATTATTTTTTATTTATATTTTTTTCATTTTCCTATCGGTTTCATTTTTTCATATTTTTCATTTTTTCATTTTTTCAGTATTTTCAACAAACTTTTCAATGAATTTTCACCAAGTGTATACACATTAGATGAACTCTATCCAATATATGGAATATTCTGTATATACTGTATATATTGTATATATTCAATGTATATAATTGGTGTACTCAGGATGAAATGAAAATTTCTATTATCATACTTCATATAACTTTATTTAGAATAAATATCATGAATTTTTCACAGCAATAACTTCTAGTATCAATTATTACTATTTGAGTGCGGTATTCATTATATAGTTTTTAGGATTGTTGTTTGGAGGTTGTCTTTGGGGTTAACCTCGAATACCGGCACCTATATGTAATTGAGTGCCAGCACACGTTGTAATTTTTTGTATATTATTTCCCCTAGTGCTGAGCACCATTACAGTATTTATAGATTTATAGATCTTTATACTACTATTTACTTACAGTTATCTGTGATCTATTAACGAGACTCTAAGAATTATTTCAACTCTTCATCCTTCATTTTTCATATTACCTTGCCTATGGCAACTTTTGCATATACAGAGGGTGATATTAGTCGCATTACATCAGCTCTCAGGGGGGCCAGGGAATTTCTAACTAATGACAGTGAGCGAGGGATAGCCCATAAACTTGAGAGGGAATTAAAAAAGAAAATCAGTTGGGAATTACATATAAGTACTTTAGGAGAGTATCTGAGACAAAAGAGAATTCCTAGGGGCTTGAGGGTTAGGTTACACCCTACACTATGTAGAGATAATGTTGAACACCGTACAGTATGGTACAAGATATTAAACAAATGTTCGGTAGACCTTATGGTATTAACCATTGAATCGCTACAGAAGGAACTAATTAAACTTGTAAAAGAGATAGCAGCAGCTGAACAAGAATTAGCAGCAGTTACATCCTCCACTGACTTAGAAACTCTTAAAAAACAGATAGAAGATAAACTCAAGGAATACCAGAGAGAAACTGAGGAATTTAAAAAGAAAAAATTCCATAGGGACGAATTGGATTATCAGAGGGATCAAGTATATACCTGGTATACCAGAACAGACAACCGCTCATACAGACCAAACAGAGATACAAACGTACAGAGATGGCGCTCGGATACAGAGGGTATTACATCCTCCTCCTCAGCCTCCTCATCCTCAGGAATGACTTTTTTAGAGAGAGGCACACGACACGAAGAAACATCAGGAGGGGGGGTCATCACAAGAGGCACACGGGAGAGAAAACAAGGCCGTCCGCCCCAATCGAGACGCAATCTCTGATACATAACATTTCAGGTAGGCCCCTAACCCCTACGGAGGAGGGGACCCTAAATAAGGGACTCTCCTTTATTCCCACACCTCATGTAGAGTGGCATCAATATGATGTCAGTTTATATAAGTTTTTTCGCCAACTTAAATTACGTGCATTTTTTTCAACAGATCAACACAATGACGGTATGACATCAGGATCTATTGACAGTAATACTCAGATTATACAGGAACCCCTACGTGAGGAAGGAGATGTGGAAGATATGGGGCATAATGGCACCGACCTATATGCGGTCCTTCCCTTAGATACAGGTTTGAAACCTAAAAGTACCTTCACACCACATAATGTCAATGCATCGATAGATTTATTTACTAATCTTGTGAAGAAAGATGTATATAAGCTCAGGAAGAAACATCAGGGTACACATAGCTGTCAAAGACATAATGTTAATTTTACTAAACAAGACTGGCTTAACATCAATAATTTAAAGAGAGATACTTCTATCATTATTAAACCGGCAGACAAGGGGGGAGCATTGGTGATCATGGATCGCACATATTACATAAAGGAAATTGAGACTCAACTTACAGATAATACCAATTACTTGCCTATAGGTCAGGATCCTACCCATACTTTGAAACATACACTAGATAGGCTTAATAAATGGGCCCTTTCCAAAGGGATCATCTCTGATGGGGAATATAAATATATGAATCTTAAATACCCTAGAATCCCAGTGTTCTATACACTTCCAAAGATTCATAAGAATCCCCTCTTTCCTCCAGGTAGACCAATAGTCAGTGGAACTGGGTCTATATTTCAACATCCGGCAGAGATACTCGATAAATTTCTGATTAAATATGTTTCGCTACAGAAATCCTACCTTAAGGACACTACTACATTCCTCACACTATTAGCAGACATACAGGTTCCACCAGGTGACTTTTGGCTGGTGACCATGGACGTTCAGTCTTTATATACTTCTATTGATCACGAGAGAGGGATTGAGGCAGTTGAGTGGACACTGGATAAAGATCCTAGATTAACCCAGCAAAGGGATACTAGAACATACATTAGGGAATTACTGACTTTCATCCTAACAGAAAATTATTTCCTATTTGGGGACAGATACTACAAACAAATCAAAGGTACAGCCATGGGCTCGAATGTCGCTCCAACATATGCAAACATTTATATGAATCGAATGGAAGAAACTTGTATTTATCAGCATCCTTTATTCGTCAAATGCTTAGTTTGGAAAAGATATATTGATGATGTGTTTGTCTGTTGGAGCGGCACAAGGGCCCAATTGCAGGACTTTTTTGAGTCATTAAATACACAAGATGTCAATATTAAATTCACTATGTATTGTGACATGATTACGGTTCCTTTTCTAGATGTACAAGTACAGAGAGTACAGAATTGTCTTCATAGTGACTTATATATAAAACCTACTGACCGAAATAACTTATTGACGTATGCTAGTTTCCACCCAACTCACCTCAAGAATGGTTTACCGTTTAGCCAACTGTTAAGAGTAAAGAGGATAGTATCACAGGAAGACAAAGTGATGACAGGTTTAGACTTTATGGCTAAAAATTTTTTAGAGAGGGGCTATCCCACACATATAGTAGATAATCAGCGACAGAAAGTTGAAACCCTGTCCCGTCAGGAAACTCTCTCAGGTATAGGAGCAAAAAACAAAATAGAAAGGCTTACATTAGTGACACCTTATACTCCACTTAATAGGGATATAAGACGAGTCATATTGAAACATTGGCAATTATTTCAGGGAGATGCCCAATTACCTTCGATATTCCAGCATCCTCCGCTTTTTTCATATCAGAGAGCTTCGAACCTGAGAGATGTTGTAGTGAGGTCAGACATTGGCAGTTTTAAAAAACAAACCAGATTCTTTTCAGAACCCAAGAAGGGTACTTTTCCATGTCTAAATTGCTCACACTGTAATAGCGTGATCAAGGGGGAATATTTTGTTCACCCTCGGTCAGGAAAAAAAATTTTCGTTAAGGATTTTTATACGTGCAACTCGGACTTTGTCGTGTATGCCCTGAAGTGTCCCTGTGGGCTTTTATACGTGGGGGAGACCATCCGGCCAGTGAAAGAACGGATAGGGGAACACAAAAGGAGCATTAGGGCAACATTTCAACATAATAAAGTGGAAGCTCCAGTACCAAGGCACTTTAAGTTGCATGGCCATAATGTAAACCAATTGAGGTTTCAAGTCATAGACAGAATCCCACCACTACGCAGGGGTGGAGACAGACAGAAACTCTTACTTCAGAGAGAGACGAAATGGATAAGTACTCTGGAGACTTTGTCACCACTAGGACTCAATGAGGACTATGACCTTAAACATTTTTTATAAGTATATATTTATGATTGTCTGCTCTATGATTTTGTGCTCCTTACAGTGGTTCCTCTTGACCAATGTTGGTCCGTAGTTCTTTCCTGCCGACATTTTGACTCAGCTTGGGGTCCGCTACCTGCTAGTGACACAGGGTCCCTCACGTACATGGCCCTCGGGCACTATGGGGTATTGCGTGGCAGGTGAGTTGCACATATGGATCTCTCCTCTTTTTAGTAGTATTTCATAACTTTTCTAGTTTCATGCATTTTTTTATTATCTGGAATAATGACAAATGTTGTGTCTTTTTCTGTTTTCTCCTTTTTTTCTTTTTTATTTATCCAGCTGGTTGTCCAACTGGTTCATATCCAATTTTTTCTTACAATCTTTCTCCTTGATCAGCATTAACAGGTGAGCTTTAACATAAATGTTAGACATTTATTATTTTTCATTTTGGGTTTGTTTAATAATTAAAATTAATAATTTTCAATGTGTACTATATGAAGCTTATGGCAGTTCATCTGTAACCACAACCGTTTGTATAAATAGACATTCACTTCATTGTTTTCCCTTCTATTATATGTATTATACTATTTGGTGAACAATTTTTCTATTATGTATCTTTACTGAGTTTGTTTGTCACACTATGTTAAGTGATCAATAAAGTTATATAGAGAACGCATGACGCAGCAACGTTTGCTGACGTCATAATGCGGAAGTGGGCGAATACTATGGAGTGGATGCGGCTATGTTTTGCCGCCAAATACAGGTATTTAAACAATTTTCTACCTTGCTTGACAGAACACAGGGGCCGTCGAAGGGACAGTTAAGTCCCGAGCGCGCAGCCCGTCCCTAGACTGGATTGCCTGCATTAGTTCATTGCCGTTCGTTCAGACCACATACCCACTGGGAGCTGCTTCTGACCACACAACAACTGGGAGCTGATGGAGTGACTTTCCGTTTGCTACAACTACTATTACCTTCACCTTCGTTTAGATCATCATCTGATTACAACTTTGATTTGGTACACCAAGAACAAGATTTCTACAATTGGTGAGATCTATCCAGATACAGCTAAATATAGTGCACTATATTGGACTACCAGGACTTTCAGATTATTTTGCTTATTTTTCTATATATTTTTTCTTTTCATTCCTTATCTTCTTTTTCTTTTTATTTCCCCTTTCCTTTTTTCTGGTTTGGATTGGGGATTTTTTCATTATTTTCATTATTTTTTATTTATATTTTTTTCATTTTCCTATCGGTTTCATTTTTTCATATTTTTCATTTTTTTCATTTTTTCAGTATTTTCAACAAACTTTTCAATGAATTTTCACCAAGTGTATACACATTAGATGAACTCTATCCAATATATGGAATATTCTGTATATACTGTATATATTGTATATATTCAATGTATATAATTGGTGTACTCAGGATGAAATGAACATTTCTATTATCATACTTCATATAACTTTATTTAGAATAAATATCATGAATTTTTCACAGCAATAACTTCTAGTATCAATTATTACTATTTGAGTGCGGTATTCATTATATAGTCTTCAGTATTTTTAGTTCGGTTCAAAATTTCATTCAAATGAATGAAATTCCAATCCGTGCTGCGGCTGCATCTTGCAGCTGCTTAGTAGATAGCTCCCTAACTCCCACGGTATTAGGGAGCTATCAACCAAAAGGCTGAAAGACCAAGATGTGGTGGGGGACCCTAAGTCCTCCATTTAGTTGCATAGCCCCCCGCTCGCAGGCATGTGTAGGAGCTCGGGGGGACACTATGCCCCACCCCACTAGTTAATAGATGCCCCACTATGGGGCCATTTGTTGGAAGGATGAAGGGTTTTTTTTTTACAACAGTGAGCAGCCACAGGTTGCTCACTGTTTAGTAGATATGCCCCTACTCGCGGCATAGAAAGTAGGGCATTCAATCTCCCTTATGTTAATATGGGGGTCATATTGACCCCCATAGAGCTTGGGAGGACATGGGGGGCTTAGGAAGTGGCAGGGAGCACACCTCTCTGCCACTTCTATTTTAACATAGAACAAGGAGGGAGCTGCGAGTCAGTAGCTCCCTCCTTGTAAGAAACAAACCAATGAACAAACGAACACCATCTTTCAGTGTTTGTTTGTTCGTCTGAAATTTCTATTCATACCTTTGTCTTTTTGACGAATGAATAGATTAAATTCCTGTCCGGATTTTGGACAATAGCGAATATCCAAGAGTTTAACGGGGCATGCGCTGAATTATGCAGCGATATCTAGTGTGGGCAGATGATGTGTCCCAAAGGGCCTTCATCTGCTCACACAAAGATAGTGGCGCCCAGGACCTAGGTCCAGCACAAAATAAAGTAATAAAAAAAAGGTAATATGGGGGGATTATGTGCATTTAGATGTAGTGGAGTCCGAAGGGGGGTTTAAAAAAAAGCAGAATGTGGCCATGACAGTGCTGCTTTATTGATATAACTAAAGATAGATGAATAAGTGGGAAAATAGTCAAGTGAGAAGCTGAGGTCAGGGAATACAGAGATTACACAATCGATAAGCCAAATCAGAGTTAAAGGATAACCAGAGGGCAGAGTAGTCAAAATAAGCAGGGTCAGATATAAAAATAAACACAGAGAAATCAAAATA